AAATCAGATTCATTTAAGACAGACAAGACACAATGGACGATCCAGAGGAAGGGGAAGTCAGGGGGTTTTTTAACTGTATGCATTCCTACCATTCAAAGAACTGGATGTGTTAGGGTCTCACATACTTTTTTCAAAACTTAAGATTTAACTATTTTAAAATAATCTTAATACTTTAAGTCGCTTAAAAGCACATGGGATATTTAATTGTAAGGGAACTATCATAACAGAGAATGCACAACAGAAATATTTAAGAATTATGACCTCCCTGAGGAATCACACTCAATGAGTCCTACCACAGCTCATTGTCATTCTTCCACAAGATTTTGACAAGGTAGTAAAATAATAAACAGTAATGTGCAATCAAAAAATCCGTATTTTAAATCGCTTTAAATATTAGCTCACTCTATCTAGAAACAGCAGGCAAGATCTCAAGTTACAAATTAACAAAAAGTGTCTCATAGAAAGTTCTTAAAAGAAAAAGGACTTTTAGAAGTTAACTCAAACTCTTTTCTAAAGATAAGCAAAAGCACTAAAATAAGAAAACCATATAATATACTTTCACAAACCTACTCTAAATTAAAAGCAGTAATGCTGAGATAAGATAGGTGAACTGTCAAAGAAAATAATAGAAACTGATGAGACAATTCCATCTGTTGGAGAGAAGAAAGGCAAGAGTGACTGTACAGAAGGACATCTGACATCGCCAGAAGTGCTTTTTCTTCTTCCCTCTCCTCAACTTCTGGCCAAAAGGCATAGACGAAACGATTTTCTCAAAAATTGAAAAACTGGTCTCAATCAGACAGCGATGCTCAACATAACACCTTCCTTGGTTCTTGCAGCTTTACACAGCAGTAATTCTCACTTCAATCTCCAGTTTTAATGCAATATGCTGAGAATAAAAAAACTGGGAAATGGTAGATTGTTGTAAGATACATCAGGAATAAAAGGTTATTACAAACAGATTAGCCCATGGTGGAAATGACACAGGCTAAGCAGGAGGCATGGATAATCTGGGTAAGTGCCATGGAAAAATAAATATCATGATTGGACTTAAAGCAAATGGAAGCAGTTCAAACTGGCTTCCTCCAATTCACTGCAGAACATGTGATGCCCACATGTCCATTTCCAACAAACCTCACCATAACGAAACAAAGGCCAATACTGTGAAGTGCTGAAAAACGCATCTACCACCAAGCTTCTTCCATACCACAGCAACGTGAATTATTGCAGCTGCCTGACAAGCATGAAAGAAAAGAGTCGGGGGGGGGTTTTTTGCTTTTTTGTTTTGTTTTTTTGGAAGACAGCTACCAGCATTTATCTGAAGCACACCATCCTGTCAGTAAGTGTTGACCTTGCAAAGAAGAGCAAATTTTATAAAACGCAGGTTGCAGTTTTACAATTGGTCTACAAGGCCCATTGCAGAAACTCCACTCAGCCCACTTCCTCTGTCCATCTACATGCTCCTTCAACTTCTCTGGCTCAGTTCTAGCGGGTTTCTGTCAGGTTAACTTTTCAGAACATCAGTTCCTTTATCCAACTCCTTGTGAGGCCACAAAAACACTAGTGTTTGCTTAACAGAAAGGTCAGAAACTCCTGGCTAGGGACAGGCTGTCTCTATCAGCAGCAGCCCACACGTAAATTGGCTTAAATTGATCACGAAAATCACAGCCTCGCAGCAATAAGTGATCATGTCATTGTGTGAATATAAGGAAAATTTGTGGTAAAGGTGGTCCTAGAGAAAGGACCTCAAAAATCACCCATTCTTAAGATTTAAAATTAGCCTTATGGCAAAGTGTTGTTAATCTACTTGTTAACAAAGTCAAATATCAGCAGTAGGTGGATTATGATCAAGTAAAAAACTTTGCAGCTTAAAGGATCTTCCGCCAGAAACAACTCTTTTAAATGACAAATTTGAGATCATGGCTTCATTAGCAAACATGGAAGATATTTCAAAAGCATGTTACCAATTTTTACCAAAAAGCAAAATCACAACTACTATAGCAAAACAGTGCCAATATTTATGCTTCCATTATAGATTAAAAAAAAAAAAGAGGAATTTAGAAACAAACAGAAATAATAAAGACAGATATTGCATGAAGAGGAGAGACTGAACAAAGCAGTTAATGGTTTGAATTAAATTCAGACAGTGGTAGGACATAAATACTTTATCAGAACAGGACAGCATACATGCTGCAGTCAACAGGGGACACCGGAGTGCAGCTGTCAAAACATATCACTGCAGCTTCGGAGTAGGAGACTGAGTCTTGCTCTAGAACCACATTGAAGCCCCCTTTAATTAGCTCCACTATAAATTCATAACTGCTCATCCCAGCAGAGCAGTCAAAGGCAGATGCATACACTGTTAGCCACGTTAACCCTGGACTGCTGCACTGACTACTGCAATCAACATGCTTTCAAGCCCCGCTGGATGGGTTAGATTATCTAGGTTTGAGTGATTTTTTGACTTATCAGCAAATTCCTTGCTATTTCTACTGGCTGTATCACCACGTTTTAGGGCAACCTTGAGGACATCTGTATTTTTTCCTCCTTTAAAACTACTTGAAAACACTCCTTCTTTGAGGAAAACTCAAGAGAAAATACAGAATTTTCACTTTTCATCATTAGCAAAAGCACAAAAGGACTCTGACACCAAATATGTGAGGCATTCCCTAATTCTTACGTGAATAAAGCATTAGGACTTACTGGGCTGGCAAACGGTCTTGACCTTTGAGCCTCAAACTAAGTATGACAACTGCAGGTTCTGTTGAACTCAGATTTGCAGCAGAAACAAGTGAAATAGCATTGATGACACTTACGCAGTCAAGTATACTAAAACAGGAATACTTAAACAGAAAAAACCTGCTGTTTTTTCCCCCACATGAAATTTCATTTTGCACCCCCCCACTTCTCATTCTTTCCCAGCTGAAACTAGTACAATTCTTTGGAGTAGCTAGAGTGTGGTTAAGCAGAGGAAGCTATGCTTGTTTGCATGGAATCTGCTATTTCCTCTCTGCCAAAACACTTGTTTAAAGAAGTCATGTAATATTTCTATTAAGCTGTAAATGCAGTTGACAAGGAAATGGCCTACTGGCAGTGCATTACCTTTGTGGCAGTGCCAACCAGCCTACAGCAAAATAGTGCACATGGTAATTTCAACATGCATTCCCAAGTAACAAAATTGTGCCTTACATAAATACCACAGAACTCCAGCAACATCTAGAAAAAGCAATGAAAATTTGCCCAAGCTTTCATGCTTGCCTGTATCAATTCTGTGTCATAACTAAAACAAAGTAGGAAAGCATCTACATATGTCCAAAAGTCCTGTGAAGCTATATCATATGACACTGGGAAAACTATTGCAACTTAAATCTGTGTATTTCTTGTTAACCACTGTAACAACTCACTAATAAAGATTAAGAAAAACTGTAGGTATCAAATATACAAAAGAGTACTAACTGCATACAAGGCCTTAAAAACCATAACATAATTTATTAACAAGAACACATGTTCAATGTAATCCAGAATTGTTGTGTTAAATTACTTTGGCCTTTGATAGCATTCATTTGATTACAAGAATTAAACAGATTCACAAGCTTTCAAACTCAGTGAGCTTTGATTTATAAGCAGCTATTGTCACGCGTATAAAAATCCTCTCTGATAATGTAGTCCTCACCTTTCAACAGCTAGTGCAACTACACATAATCATGTCAAAATGAACTCACATGTAATTAAGACATTTTCATTAAAAGTACAACCAAAAACCCCAGCATGATCAAATGTATTTAATTTGTAATCAGTAGTTCTTCAAAATATTTCTTAAGTGTTATTTCATCTTAAATTAAGTTCCTATCAAAAACAAGCTTCGGAGATACTTACTTTGTTCTCAGCTTTCATCTGACTATTTTCAGTTTGAACAGTAATTTTAAAATACTTAATTACACAGAAAAAAAAAAATATGGTGCAGGAAAATTACTAAGCTTTGCTTCCAAAATTATGTAATGTTTCTAACTGCAAAACACTCACTAGCTTTAACCGAGATGCACATTGCCATAAAACTTCAGGAAACATCTCTGATCCAAAAAGCACACGCAAACAAAAATCAAGAACCAAACAGCAGTAAATACACTTGAACTCATATAAGCGTCACCCTATAGTAATCATATACGAACAGTACCTTCTCTTTCAACAGTGGTGGCTTCCTTATATATATGAGGCACCAGCAAAAGAAAACTGCATAAAATAATCTAGTATGCATGCTATTTTTGCCACAAATCACAAAGATGAAAAAAATCTGCTTTTAGCAATATAAAGTGCCTTATTAATACCAAATGGGCTTTAGATATAAACAATTCAAGAACAGAGTATTTATTCATATTCAGTGCAATCAGTGTAGCTATTCTATAGGTCATTTCAAAAAAATAAAAGCATGACTAACACTGGCAACAGTTATTCCTAGATAAATATTGTTCCCCGTGGATTTCTCCAAGTAATTCCTTTATAACTGCTACCTCTCATAAAATGTAAATAGAACTAGTAGCTTTATTTTGCAAAAAAGTAAACTAATTCATTAACAGACTTTAAGACTCAGTAATAAATAAAAACCGTCAAGGGTTACTAATATTAGCAGTGCTCACATAGGACAATTCTGAATCCTTCTTTAGGTCATCTTTACTTCAAAACTCCTTTTCAAAGGAGGATGACCTCTTGGGTTATGGAAGTTTCCAAGTGCAGGTACAGTATGGAATAGGCTCTATGTGTTGCCTTCAAGTCAATTAAGCACTTATTGATTTAGTTTTCTCTCAAGTGGAGATAAAAGCATTCTGAAACCTTACAGAGACGTGTTAAAACACAGGCAAACTGCAGTAAATAGGAAGCAAGACAGCAAGTAAAAATCCTTAGTCTTAAAATCTTTGTCCATAAACATACAGTTTTATGATTCCAGTATTTGTTGTATTAAAAAACCAAGAAACTAACAAGAAAACACCATCACACACACTTACCCTCATTGGATGAATATCAGCATACGGAGGCTTTCCTTCAGCCATTTCTATTGAAGTGATACCAAGGGACCAGATGTCTGCCACGCAATTATAGCCAATCTCTTGTATTACTTCAGGAGCCATCCAAAACGGAGTTCCTATAACAGTATTACGTTTTGCCATTGTGTCCTGTAATTATATTATTTATGCAATTAAACCAGAGATGCTTATTTTCAGATTCTTTTGATACTAATTCTATATTTAAAAGTTAAATTAGCCACTCAAAGGTCAAACAGTAGTGACTTCCAATTAAGACCAAACAGATTCAGCCCATCAGCCTACAGAGGCCAAACAGGTGACAATGACCATAAACCTCAAACAAAAGTTTAAAGTGGGATCATCAGGTACTTGAAGTACACTGGGTTATAAAAATAAACAACTAAAAACTAAATAGCCTTGCAATACATTAAATACTCATCATGATAAAGAATGTTGGCTCTACCACTAGCACTAGTGACTCCTCAGACACAAAATTCAAGGCAGAAAAAAAAGAGAAAAGTAAAAAAATATGGTTAGGTGCACTAAAGCATTTTTAAGTGATCTTTCCACAGGTACTTACTGTTAACTGGCCAGCCACACCAAAATCAGCTAATTTTGCATGTCCCTCGGTGTTAAGAAGGATGTTTCCAGCCTTTATATCTCTATGTATTTTTCTCATAAAGTGCAAGTATTCAAGTCCTTTAAGAGTAGATTTCAGAATAGTTGCAATTTCATCTTCTGTTAGCTGCAAGAAAACATAAAACCATTTTCAAGTATACATATAGAGTCTATATATTTGAACTATTTAAAACATGATCATTTCATAATGATTATTATAAATAATACAGACAGTGTATTTTAATACATTTTATTTTAACACAGCTATTTTAACACAGGAATATGCCCAATAGCATTTACAATTCAAAACTCTGATCTACTAACTTGATCCATATAGCTAGATTCTCACACATCTAGAGTCCAATTAGAGCAAGCAAGCTGCAAAACTAGAGAAGGGGCTGACTGATGCAGATCAGATGGCGGAATATGCAATATTCTCTTGCCTGTCAATCAAAAGTTACTACTCTTTATATGTTGACATCCTTCGTAAACACTGCTGCACAGTTTCTGCAAAATACAACTAATACATTTAATATGTATTATCTTAGTAATTATTGTCACGTTATGCATTACCTTTGTCAAAACAAAGGTAATGGTGGTCACCACTGGACCAGACGACACATACCAGAATACTTCCCTGGAAAAAAGACATAGCCCTTTCTCTACCACAGAAGGCTAGAGCTATTCCTCAAACATCCATGCCCTTAAGTTCTTTACACAGTTTGCCCAACAAACTATCACAGTCCTACATTTGGAAAGAGGTGAAAGGAATGCCATGTTTTCTTTATTTCTCAATTTCCTACATATGAAATGCCTGCTAAGTCTACAATTAGTAGTACCAAACTTTTGTGCACCAATTATTCCTAATTGCACTACTATTAGTTTCTCATTGCCGGCAATTTACAAATTAGAGAGGATGAATTAAGAGCTGCTTTGCAAGAACAAAAAAAAACAAACAAACAAAAAAAAAAACACACACAAAAACACACAAAAACCAAACACCACACCAAAAAAAAAACCTGAACAAAAAGCAAGGGACAAAGGTGTGCAAACAAACACCACACCAAAAAAAAAACTGAACAAAAAGCAAGGGACAAAGGTGTGCAGAAAATAGCCAAATGATTATTTATCACAAAGCTTGTGAAAAATATATTCGTCAGGGATAGCTTGCTACTTGTTATCTGTAGGCAAATGATACAGCATGCAGAAATACAAACACCCCAATGGTTCCCAACTAGTTTACAGAATTTTACTGAAGTCTGTCAAGTAAGCCATTCCTTTTAAGGCTAGTGCCTTCATTTTATATGGAATGTAGGTATATGCTAATTTTTGAAAATAAATATTTCTCACTCTGGCTGTGCTTCATACTGACACAAAGCTGTAGAACTACACCCACACAGATGTGCCCCGATGACCTTCCCAAAACCCTACTCAGCCCTGAAAAAGGACAACTAAGATGTCAGGGTACTCTTATGCTGGAAGGTGCCAATAACTGTTATCACCTGTTCCTTTAAACTGTAGACAATTACAGAAATGATTGAGAATGGATGCCAACCACATGCTATGGGCTTTTTCTTACACTGTTGTTCTTTTCTTGTTGCTGACCGATGCAGAGAATGAACGCTCACTAAACTTTTGGGTTCTTTTTCAATTACCTGTATCACTCAACAATTGCTTGATGATATCCTCATAGGAAAATATACTCAGATTGAATATATGGATCTTCAATTTCAGCCACAAATACTGTGGTTTTTTTAAATATCTACCAACAACGTTAATTAGTTTGCTGTCTATGCAAACATTTCCTGTTAGTTCTTAATATTAAGTGTAGATAATCCACATGAGCTATGCTATAATATATCATGTTACTATGGCACTATCAAGTTGTACAATTGAACTAACAGAAATCTTAACATAGCTGGCCCTGAATATATTTTATAAGACAAACCACATTTTAGTAAGCACAACTACCACTATGTGAAGATAATGCAACATGTCAGCCCATGACTTTCAAAGTAGTTGCAGCCTGTTAATATCTTCTGGTCTCTAAAAAACATATTCCTTTACATGACATTTACCAGTGCATAATACTATCTTCTATGGCCATGCTGAATTTTTAACAGGTTTCTTTATGTTCTTTAATAACAGCATGGCCTTCAGTTACTTCTGAGAATTAAGGTAGAATAGTTGAGGCTCTTTAGGACTTTAGAGTTCCTGAAGTCAATAATACATTTTGCACAGTTACATCCAGGTCTCTTTCATATCATGTTTGCTGTTTATTTTTCAGTCAGGATGAACGGAAAGGTATTCTCAAATTAGTCAAGTAACTGCATACAAACTGAGAAACAAAATTGAAAATTTGGAGAGTAAGAAAAAAAAAATTGCAACAGGGATATTTATTGAACTCTATAACAGCATCACAAAGGAAACACTAAGAACTCTTTTGCTTGATTTTTTTTTTTTTTAAGCAGACCAAAAGTTGTTCAGTTTTAAAGCTAAGAAAAAAAAAAATTAACAATTATTAAGCACCTACTATAAATAAAGAGGTAGTGGTGTAGACTGGGCAGTCCAAAACACTTCTCTTATTTACTACTTTAATATGCTGCAGAATTGATATACTAGCACAAATGATACAATAAGCTGCAAGTATCAACTGGCAACAAGCTGACAGATATTTCATTACCAAAGAAAATACAATACAGTAAAAAAAAAAATTAAGATACATTTTAATTTATCTGCTTCATAAACTACATGGGCTACTGAGCAAGTTATCAGCTAGCACAGTTGTTTATATTCATTGCTTTAGATCAACATAATAGGAGCACATAAGCTCCTGAACAGGTGTGATCAGAGAAAGTAAGAGCGAATCTTTCGCAGGTACCAGACCCCCTGAGAACACTTCTCAGATTTTGATCAACATTTATTCTAGAACAAAAGCAAAACACACATGCACAATTCATCCCATGTGATGCAATTTCTCAAGGATATACAAAGAAACTATTCATGCAACTGAAATGCTGTTCAATTACAATACATCGATGCTTTAATATAAGAACTAAGCAAATTAACTTAATACATTCTTAGAAATGCAAGAAACTACAAAACTGAAGATGAATACTCTAATTTGGCTGCAACACTGGGTTGCATTTTTCCCCTTTCTCTACTTTTCCAATCCTATACAGAAATTACATAAGCAATAGCAATTCCGTCCAGTTTCAGTTTTGAAAGTGTTGGTACACATCCGCACCTCCCTCCAAAAAAAACCACCACCAAAAGCCCACAAGAAACAAAAAACCCACTCATAATCACTCTAAGCCACCAGAATGACTCAACAGAAAGGAAAAAATGGTCAGTCAGCACGATTATCTGCACTTGAGTTGCTCATAACAAGTTTTAATTATTTAATAAACAGAACCACTTCCCTATTCCAGCTTCTATCCAGTCTCATAAAACCTGGGCATGGAGCCCAAGCACACAGTTACACATACATTTATTTAAACAGCAGTGACAAGCTCCAGTCCCTTCTTTCACTGCAACCTGCAGCAGTTAATTCCCACTGTGTGTTAGCCCTTCCACTGAACAACTGTAACTGACCCTAGTTAAAAATAAACCTGTCTGCCAAATTATTTTTCCAACAAATCAGTTCCCCAATTCAATTCATGGCATAGTCAACAAGGACGCGGCAGAGTAGGAGCCGCTCAAATTGGTATTGCTTTCCAAGTAAGTACATGTGTTGCTATACCCAAAGAGTCCCAGTGACTTTTATAAACCTTTCCCTATGCAAGTAGAGGATGAAATTGATGGTGGCATTATCTCCATGCTCCACAGCACAGCAGAGGCGGTAACTGCTTGCACTATGCATTCCTTGCCTGCCATTTACCTCTGAGATCTTTCAGTGTTTCTGTTCAGTGGCACGCTGCTCAAAGCCTTTATTTGTGCTACTTCTTTATGCTGACTGCTATGCTGCTTCAAAGGACTGTATGCCAGGAGAACTGAAAATGCTGTTATACACAGCTCAAATAAGACTGCTTTCCTGGCATTGCGCCATGGGAGTGAAACCATCTACCTGATCTGGAGTCAAGAAAGGAGGGACTTTCAATCAACTGTAAGATAAACTAAAGTATGGTCAGAAGGGTATCTGGAGAAAGAGACAACCCTCATTATATGAGCTAATAATTTTGTGGTGAAGTACGCTAAAACTGTGATTATCTGAAGACTCATACTACAGGCAATTTAAGCTCTGGCTATTAACAAATACTGTATCACGAATGGTTTATGACATGCCGAGTGTAACACACTCTTGTCAGAGCTTTGCCAAATCTACCCCACTTCAGAGACAATACAACGTCCTGAATCGCCAAAGACTTCCATGCAGTTAATCCTGAACATGCATCAAAAAATGACCCTGAGCACTGACAAATGTATAGCAAGATACAAGGCATACAACTTGCTGCCCGCTTTCATCCAGAAACAAGTATTATGAGAAATTGTGCTTAGAAGGCTCTGCAGAGAAGGTCTCTATTCAATATGTTATGTTCCTAAGGAGATAAATCACTAGCTTTAGTTCTTGAAAAATTAGTGGTTAAACCACATGGAGATCTTTGGATTACCTCTAGATGGAGAAGTGCTTTTGCAGCTGCATGGCAAAATCCAGCTCTCAAAAGGAGAACACCCATACCAAAAAGGTTGACAAAGAAGCTAAGGACTGAGAATCCAGCAAACCAGAAGAGAGCGAGTTCTAGAGTACTGCAGCCTGATACACCATCTGGGGACCATCAGTAAAGGAAAGCTCTAGCAAGGCTACATGTTACAAAAGTAAGTATTTAAGTAACATCAAAATACACACAGTGGTCAGAAAAGCCCTTAGAAATGAATGTTACCTATAAGAAGTAAGCAAAGAGCACGAGTCATGTTTATCAGGAACAGCAGTAACAAGGAAGCACAGGGAAAAGGGAGAACAAGCTTACTCTGCCATAAGTGTTCTGAGACACATCAATCCCAGCTCCAGATGTCCTAGATCCATCCGCTTGTGCTTCATAAAATATATATAATGTGATGCAGTCACTAAAGTCATTCCTGCTTATATTATTGCTAAACATGGCCAAGTGTATGCATAACAATACACAG